TTGTTGTCTCAAAGACTTGTTCATATTGACCAGCAAAGCGAGACACATCAGTCGAAGTTCCTAATTATATGTACAAAATAGCCCTCGTCATTACATCATATCAATATATATAGTCAAGGGATAGATAGTTGGCTACCACTTTGGTCATTGGTCTTTTCATCAAAATCTGAGGAAGTCTTGAATCCTGTTGGTAAGTAACTCAAACTCTCTCCATTTACACTACATACCACCCATGTCAAATCCAATAACAGGCTGTTCCGTCTCTGCATGGTACGTTGTCATGGCATAACCAACCTGCAATCAGTGACAACTAATAAGATATTTCATGGTGATGGTGGTGATGACGATGGCAATGTTGATGATGATGATGATGGGGTAAGAGGAGGATCATGACAGTGATGGATCAGAGGTAATAACTGTGGTACTATTAATGGTGAGCATCATAATGGGAATGACGATGATTGTTACAATGATGATGACAATGACAGTGACGATGAGGGTGAGAATCATCATCATATTAATGATGATGAAAAGGATGGAGATCATTCTAATAAAGGCATTCAGCTGTCAGGTATAAAACAGGTACAAAATATTTAGATTTAAAACACCTACCACTCCTCCTGCTGGGCCAGAGAGAATGGCATGAGATCCAGAAAACCTAAAGAGAGAAATACACATCGACGGTCAGATCTCCAGAGTATACACAATGATGTGCACTGAAACACAGTCAAATCTGTTACGGATAACCACATATTACATTAAAAAACAACAAAGGTGAGTTCTCAAGCCGTTACTTTTCCCAGCAGCCCTACAAGCAAGTCTGTTGATTACTAGTACACAAAATAATCCTAAGTACCTACTTTGACACAGGTGTAAGTCCACCATTTGACTGCATGAAAAGAACTTTGTCCTATACAAATAACAGGCAAAATAGAAATTAGAACCATAGCTTCACAGCAACTGTCCACGGTAAACAAAGAATGTCATTGATTAGAATAAAACTTATATCAAATAAGAGGTCTAGTTTTGTGAAAATAAATTATTCGTGATTTCGGGGAAATATGCTGCACTATGGTCTCTGAATCATTTCGATTTGTTACAGTTAAAGATAATTATTAATTACCTCAATTCCACTCTTGAAACCAGACATGAATCCAGTTACATATCTCTTGATACATGGTGTTAAATAAGCATCAGCACAAGCTTGAACAGAACAAAAAAACTGTCTATTATATTAAACATCCTATCTCTAATAGGCCTCACAGCACCTCTGCAAGGCCTGGGCTGTGTCCAAAGATCCAGGGCATTACATTATCTGGGATGGGACAAAGTAAACTTGGTGTAACAAAAAGTTTCAGGAATCTCAGAATCATCTTCGGGGACCCAGAGCAGATAGTCGAGTCAGGAGGAAATTGCACAGTCAAAAGTGATGGGAATAAAACATTTGTCTGTATTGCTTTTGCCTGTTTGACTTCCTCCTGACCTGGCAATCTGCCCCTGGGTTTTTCCAATATTTTTGTTGTGTCAATTTTTGTTGGGGTTTTACCTTGTCTTGTCTTACCTTGTCTTACAAGCCTTCAAGAAAATGAGCAACATCTTGGGGAAGAGGAGAACCAAACAGTAGTGACAGAAAATGAAACATGCATGGAGGTAGAGGTGAGGAAATGCTGAAAAGTCGGGAAGTCCAAGCAGCACATGGTCTATGCAAGCATAGACACTCTGAAGAAGACTAAAGCCAGACAGAAGGTGAGAGAGGTGTTGAATCGCAGCAGAATGAGGGCCAAGAAAGCGGAAGCCAGGTCAAATACTGTCAAGCCAACAAGGTTATAAATACAAAGTATCAGAAAAGACCGAAGGAACTTCCTGGATGACCTCACAAGACAGGCAGAGGAAGCAGCAGGCAAGGATGATTTGAAAGAACTTTATTTCATCAGAAGAACACAGGAAAGTGTTACAAAGATCACAGACAGACCTGTCAGAGCCAACAGCAGAGGTGCTCACCAATCAAGAGGAACAGTGAACAAGATGAGCAGAGCACTTAGGGAGCTGCTCAGCCGACCTCTGCCAAATGAGATAGCACACACAGAACCAGCCGACACACCTCTCAAACCTCTGCAGGTCAATGAGAACAGGCCAGTTAAAGCAAAGATTAAGAGAGCTATCAGATACCTGAAGAATGGAAGACCAGCTGGCCGTGATGGCATACCACCAAGGCCGATTTGACCAGCTCGACCAAGGTGCTGCATGAACTGTTTGGGAAGATCTGGGAGACAAACACATTAAGAGATGTCATGACTGGAAAGAAGGCTACCTGACCAAGCCTCTGCAGAAGGCAGATCTGAAGGAATGCAAGACCTGGAGAGGCATCACGCTGCTATAAACTGCTGAAAAAGTGATGAATGGGACAGTCCTGCAAAGACCGAGAGTAGAGTTGGATAAACGACGGCGGGATGAGCAAGCTGGGTTTGGAAAGAAAGGTCATGTACAGATCAATTATGCCACCTTGAGGATCATTGTGGAACAGTCTCTCAAATGGTACTCTCCTGTTTGCACAAACTTTATGGATTAAGAGGGCCTTTCACAGTGTTGACAGGGAAGTGTTGTGGAAGCTGTTACATCATTGTGACCTCCCAGAGAAAAGCATTACCGTCGTACACCACCTGTCTTGCACAATGGAGTTCTTTCAGAACCATTTAAGGTACTCACCGGAGTGCCTCAGAGATGCCTGTGAGATGTTCAACGAGTGCCCCAGGGATGCCTGTTGTCACTCTTTTTGTTTCTGTTAGTCATCGACTGGGTAATGTGAAAGTCAACAAAACAAACATTGAGTTGGTGTACAGTGGACCCTAAGGACCCGGCTAGCAGATCTGGACTTTGCTGACGACATCGCCCTGCTCTCACATAACCACCAGGGCATGCAATCCAAGCTAACTCGGCTTGAAACAATCAAAGTGAAAATGGGCCTTAGGATCAGCATTTCCATAACAAAGGTGATGAGGATCAACACCAGGAATGCAGACAAGATAGAACTGGATGGGGAAGAATTTGATGAAGAGGAGGCCTTTGCATACCTTGACAGTAACATCAGCAAGGATGGTGGATATGTTCAGGACATACAGGTAAGGATTGGGAAGGCAACAACTGTACTAAGGTAAAAGGTGAAGGAAGACCAAACTACGGATATTCAATACCAATGTGAGTCTGTCCTCCTTTATGGCTCATAGCAATGAAGAGTAACAATTTAGAGCAACCTCCAACAAACTACAGTCCTTTGTCAGCAGATGCCTGAGGTCCATCTTGGGCATCCACTGGCCAGAGGTCATACAGAATGAAGAATTGTGGGCAAGAGCCGAACAGGTAAAACTCAACACTCAGATAAGAAGGTGTAAATGGGCTTGAACAAGGTACACCCTCAGGAAACTGACCAGCAATGTCACCAGGCATGCACTGAGGTGAAACCCACAGGTGAAGAGGAGCCATGGCCATCCCAGGGACAGCTGGAAAAGAGCCGTGAATGACGAGGTGGGCAAGCCAGGCTGCACCAGGGGGGACTGCTGACTCCCATATAAAAAGGAGCGGGGGTGCTCATCGGAAATTTTGAAAGAAAACCCTAAGAGGTACCAAGATCCTTCTTTGTGTGCATGGCTTGAAATTTTTTTCACCTCTAAGAGATACCAAGGTACCTAAAACAAAACATTGTCTCCTGTCAGATTTGGTCCGCTCAATACCCTAAAAGGTACTGTAAAAGCTCCCGCTGTGGATCTTTTGTGGCTGAACACCATAAGAGATACCAAAACTGCTCTTTTAACTCATAAAAGGTATGAATAATGAGACAGTTGCCAAGAGTAGAAAGATAAAAGTTGCTCAAGAGTTTTGTCGACTCTCATGCAGCCAGTTTAGGCCAACAAAAGAGACATCTTTGGGCAGGTTCAAATTTGACGAGAGTGCACGACAGCTGATGAGAGTTAGAGCATTCTCATTTTGTTTGGCCTGGACTTGATATCCAGGGAGGTATTTACTAGGTATATTTAGTGATAGGGTTCGGATAAAACAAATCCCCCACGGTCCAAAGGCTCAGAAAGGCACCCTAACTCTAAGATTTGTATCTGTCCATTACATTACTATTAGATCAAAGTTATAGCCCCCATTCCTGTGGATAAAATATTATATTTTGTTAACAAAACCCATCTAAAAGGTGACTGTTTTTCGTTTCTTTGCGTACCCGGGCATGTTTGATTAGACTTCTAGATGTTTAACTTATTAGGAATTACGGTAGAACATCTTGGCTTCAAGATCCAAAGTCTGAAAAATGTTGTTTAACACATGTACAGATATCGGTATATGCTGTTAGTTAATGAAACAACAAATTATGTATTACCTACCTGTGTAT